GCAATGGCTGTAATGGATCCAGCAGGTTTGTGGGTTGGGTGACGGTATAAAAATGAAAATAGTGTTTAACACCCAATTAACACCGCAAGCAAGCCATGCGACACAATGCAAAGCAAACTAGATCACACCAACCTTAATCAAAGAAGGTGTCTCCACTGCAAGAAGTTCAGACGACTTTATTGATTATGATGGGAAATCTAGGAAAAGATTTTCAGCGAATAACAATTTGGCTTCAGACTAGCAATATAACACAATCATATGGACCACTTTTCTGATAATTTTAAGGTGCTTTTTTTATTTTTGTAGCTTGATGAATACAGTTCTTATTCACATTCTTAAGAAAAAAATCTTAAAAATTCACCTTTTGTGTTATATGGAAGAAAGTCATATTATTTCTCAAAACTCTTTGTTCCCAAATGCATAAGTTCAAGAATTAAATAATTGTTTTGAATTATAGAGTTCATCTGGAGAAACCACTGCCCTCTAATTTGCATGTTCCTCATTTGTTCATTCTTTCCCTACGATATCAGTCTTATATTGACCTATTTTTCTATTCCAGTCACATCTGCCAACTCTCTCATTTTAGTCAAGAAGTGTGTTTTCATTGCCCTTTCCTCCTCCTTCCCCTTTTCTTCCTTCATCCATCATTATGCTGTTTAAACTCTCTCTCCATCTCCTGTCACTTCTCATCTCTCCCCGAAAGAGTGTCAAAACCCATCTGTTAAAATATTTACGTAACGCTATGAGTCTGTCATTACTGCTGCGAAGAATCTGAAACAAGTGTTTTGGCACAACCTTTGACAGGAAGCGTGTCTCCACCCAGATCTCCAGGCCAGACTCAACACAAACCCATCACGCATACGCAAATGTGCACGGATCAGGTGTCTTTAAAAAAGCTAGTTTTCAAGCTAGATTTTTCATTCACATCTGCAAACAGCCAAATACTTAAGACATCTCAGACGGAGTGCATACTTTGAGCAAAGCAAAAGAACTTAAGGTTGGCAGATGAGAATAAAGGAACGCTTTGCATAGTGAAACTTGGCTGTTTCAAAGACACCTGAGCCGTGCATATTTGCGTATGGTGGGATGAGATGTGTCGGCTCTGGCAGGTAGAGCTATGATTTCAGCTGTGGAAGACATTAAACAATTGATCAAAAAAGTGGTTTGATGGTTGCTGAAGTGTTGCTATTTTGAGGTAAACAGACTCTGCCTTTCATTAAAACTTACTATTTGTGGTGTTACTAAAACAAGCATTACTATTACAATTGCTCATACTTTGGATTGTGATTCGAACAAACACCTAACAACATGTATTAAACTTTGGTGCAGCACAACGTTTGTGTTATGGACATGAATGACACTTCAAATTGGCCTGACAGACAATAAAACAATAAAAAGGACAAGTAAAAACAGCACAAAACATGTCTAATGATCTCTTTTATCTCAATTTGATTGCTCATTATATGCCATCTCTAAAGGCATAAGTCAGTCTCAGAGATTGTGGCATAGCCGTTAGCCCTGGATCCTCAGGCAGCAAGTATCAAGTATCTGCGGAGTGGTTGAGTGCTCTGACACAGTCCAGGCCTGAAGAGGAGAACATAGTGTCTGTGCTTAATCATTTAGCAGCTTACTGCTAGTTTACGTTAACGCCATTCTCCCAAGGTCAGCCGCATAGCAAGCCGTGAATGAGCACTGGACCGCCTCTGCGGCGCTTGAAACTTCATAGCCGTGTTACTGGCGCTCACATTAATATCTCTGTCACTGCCAGATCTCAGCAGAAGTCATCTGGTGTCAGAAATGTAATCCGAGCCATTGTGACAGTGTGTCAGCACTAGAGGAGGGACCATCCAGCGCGTATGATTTTGCTCAAAAGTAGGGCATGTTGTATATGCCAGTTGGTTGGTTTTACACTGTAAGCCATTAAAAGTGTAATTGCAAGGCTAGAAAACCGCAGTGTGAGAACTAGATTTTCAGATTTACTTAAGAATATGGCTATGTCAAAATATGCCTACTTCTAAACTATATACTAGGAGAAAAACATTATGTGCGCCAAGTAGTATGTCCGATTTCATAGTATTCGTAAAATAGTAGGTGAAAATTCTCTGGTGAGATTCTTAAGTGTGCATCTGACGGACACTTTACTATCCCATGAGGCCACGAGAGAGGATTTGTGAACGGCAATGAAGCGATGCAACTGACGCCGTAGGTCACATGACAGCGACAACATGGCGGACACAGAACGTCCAAATTTCATATACTATATACTATAAACATACATATTTTTAACGGTTGCGAAGCAAGTTTCAACTAAATGTAGTATCTACATTTGATTTCTGACACGTGTATGTGTGTGCTAAAATGTTGCCAGGGTGTTGCTAAGTGGTTGCTGGTGCATTGCTAGGGTGTTCTAAATGGTTGCTTATTGGCTCTCTGATATTTTGGTCACGAAATATGATTTTTTTTTTTTTACCAGGCAAATTTGACGTGTCATTTATGTCCATATAGTGCAAACGGTGAATCAAACATCAAATAGTGTTTAATACTTATGTTTAGTGTTTTTTCAAATCATGTATGAACAATAATAATATTAATGCTTGATTGCTTAATGACCAAACAGCTCAATTTACTGCAAAATAGCAACACCTCTGCAGCCATCAAACCACTTAGAGACAAGCACTTGAGTCTCTTTTTCAGTGTTAAGCACTGGCTAAAAAGACCAGTGTTCCTTTATTTAATCAATCCCTATTCTCTTTCTCACAACGATTATTAAGGATAATGAACGATCTGCTTGTGTGGGAGAGTGAACACTGGCCCTGAGATGAGAGAGAGAAGCTCACACACACACACACACACACACACACACACATGTTGTGTTTCTATGTTTTATGGGGACATTCCATAGGCGTAATGGTTTTTATACTGTACAAACTGTATGTGCTATTGCCCTACACCAACCCTACCCCTAAACCTACCCCTTACAGGAAACTTTGTGCATTTTTACTTTCTCAAAAAAACTAATTCTGTATGATTTATAAGCTTGTTTCCTCATGGGGACCTCAAAAAAAGGTCAAAATTTACTAGTATTACTATCCTTGTGGGGACATTTGGTCCCCATAACGTGATAAATACCAGGTACACAC